AAGGAGCTTTCTTGAGACAGCAAACCACAATGAGGACATTACACAAATGTGAGTTATTTTTATCCTACCCATTTTAGGATTAATGAAAAGAATGAGAGTAATCTATAAAGAGTAATGGATTTAAAGTAAAAAAAAAGCTTGCTTCCAGTTCTGGCTATAACACTCAACAGCTGAGATACGGCAAAGGTGAGCTCACCTCACACTCCCCCATTTGTCTGTCTGTGAAAAGGAGGTGATACCTGCCTGCCTGCCTCCCGGGATTGTTGTGCATGCGAACAATGACCAGAACAACAACAAAACAAACAAAAAGGAAGCCATATTTTTTGGACAAGTGAAAGTGCAATGCAATCCTCAGATGTTTATTATAATTTTTCTCTAAAGTGCCAGTAACTGTTTATGAGTCTGGGTAACTAACAAAAGCTCCCTGGAATGGCTGACCAGCAAAATATTTTTGTCTCTGGGGTGAAACAAAAACAACAATGCCATTTTTCTAACCTCGGTTATAAAAACCCTAGTCTGGAACATGTAAACCAACTTACTAAAATAGGCACGAATTGGAAATGGATTCAGACTGGGGAGGAGGGTATCATCAGGTGTCAAGATTTATTTATTTTTTGTCAGTTGGGAGAATGTCAAAGAGCAGGGTGGATCCGTGGAAATAGCAACAGGGAACAAAATACATTTGGAGTCAGTCCCAGCTCCTTCACTAACTATGTGACTCTGAAAAAAATTATGCACCTCCTTTGACTTTTCAAATTTCTTACCTATAAAATGGGTAAAATAATGGGTATAATAATACCTACCTTACAGAGTCAGCCTATGGATGAAATTAAATTAGATAATACTATAAGTGCCCAGTGCAGAGCCTGGTACATGGCAGATATTCAATGAATGTGAGTTGTTAACTCATTTTCCCCCATTATTTTCCTAGACTACATACTTGTTTAGTAAATTTAAGAAATTCTATTTATTTCTTGGATACTGTTGACCATGTAACCTCCCTGTATGTCCTCGAGCAACCTGTGTAGAAGATTCCTTTAAAATCTTTACACAAATTCCGTCTTTACTCCATTAAGTCTATCTGATCATGATAAAAATCACTCATTCTTTATCTTATGTTAAATTGTTTTATTGAACCTATAAAGATGCTTCATAAAATTTAGGATGTAAAGACCAAGGATGCTTGATGCAGCTGCTGACCCTTAAGTTATAAAACATGGAACACTAAACCAAGGGGAAATTCAGAGACCCTTTCTAATTTCCTTACTCCATTTATTCAGAATAACACCCAAATAAAAGTACTAAGTAACAAAGATCACATTTTATTTTTCTGTATGGAAAAGGATTCATGCTAAACAACAGTGTCTGAAAATCTGAAAATTATTCTGGTTTGTGTGTGGGTATGGAAGGTACTTGTTTTCCTTCAATAATTCCATTTTTTTAAACCTCTCTTTAAGAAGGTGGTTGCTCTTCTTAGTCTACTGAAATTCTACAAATCCAGTTAAATATTACTTCTGGGAATTCTCAGATTCCATACTGGCCCTCCCTCATCACCCTAACACCCGATAGAAATTGTTTATCTTTCCCTTGTACCTCCTAAAATTTTGTTTATACCACTGGGTACCGTTGCAATCAAGCTCTATCCAGGATGTCCAACCTTTTGGCTTTCCTAGGCCACATTGCAAGAGGAATTATCTTGGACCACACATAAGATATACTGACACTAATGATAGCTGATAGTCTTAAAAAAAAGGTCTGTGTATAATTTTTATAATATCCACCACCACAGATAAGCAAAAAAGTCCTTGCATTCAAAGGGTTGGACATGGCTGCAAGTCTATGCTTTCTACATGGTCCCAAGACATAGCCCACGGTTTAGAATAGAGGTGGCATTTGGGTGAATTTTGATCGAAGGTGTGGATGAACAGTCCTCCCTTCCCTTTATTTCCTATTGGTCGTTCCTTGAAGTTTGCAGTGTGAGACTATATGGTGCTATTTTAAGAGTCTGTCAAGTGGGTTAGATATGACGTTGGAAGAAAGACAACCATTTGACTTCCCCTTTCCCTCTTCCCCAGCTTGCATCACTATTTTAAATTATATCACAGAAATTTTCCATTAGAATTTCGAGACCATACATTCTGTCAGCATTATGTTTGAAAAGGATTAATTTGAAATGCTTCTTAAACAATACACAGAGTATCTTACAATATCTGATAGTCACCTTCTCCGGCAAAATCTTGGAGAATTTTTTGACATTGTCCTTATTACCCCATGGTGGCTTATGAGGCATGCTTCAGAAAATTCTGTATTAAAGAACAGAGGTTCCAATCGCGCCAACCAAAATTTTGGATACAATGTGATTAATTCCTGGAGTCTGTCATTCTCCATCCCTTTAATTGATGCAATCACATTCAATGTTCACAGGAATAGATACTGTTCACAGGAATATATACTGTTCTTTCAAATACTCTGTGTATTGTTGCAATGGTAATTCACAAGTAGAACTGAATAACATTCCCACCACAAGGATCCTTGAAGGAAACTGAAAACAAAAGCCATATCTTTGTTGAATCCAGTTGGCTCACATTTCCACACACATAACTCCACTGAACTGGCCATCACAGCAAAAGCCACAACACACACATACAGCAGCATGGAGCTAACCACACAGCTCAACAGACAATGCAGACAAACTTGAGTATAAACCAAGATTTTTCTACCTCTTTTCATAACAGGTTAGAGCTGGCCCTCAGTGTTGGTGTACAGTTTTTATGGCATGGGAAAATAGGGATGTTTCTGCCCTATAAAAATAAATGTGTTGAAGGCTTTAGTTTGAGCTTACACAATGTCAGAAAGTTCCAAAGCTACTGGCACAATACAAAAAAAAAAAAAAAAAAAAAAGAGTCTTACAAACAAATATATATCATCAAAACACATGGCAAGATACTGAGAAAACACTGGTAGAGAAAACTAGTTTTCTCGGATGACTTATGCAACAGTTTTCAGCACCTTCCTGAAAAATAAGGAATAAGAAAGGCAGGCTAGTGGGTCTTTGGTGGGGCATAACTTGTCACCAACCACCGCTCATATAAAATCTTTAATTTTAAACTGCTCAGTAGATCATTTTTTCTCTGCAGAAGTAAAAAGCATACAACTCTCACTGTTCTTAATCTTTTAAGTCTCAGGAAGGGCTAAGGGAAAGAGCATAGAAATGCATGCACTATTTTTAATAAAGGAATATAAGGAATAAAAATAAAAATATAAAGAATAATTATTATTCCTTCCTTTTATATATCGTAATATAAACTTCCTTCCAAACTTTAGTTCTGTACAGATACTTGTTCTTCTATAACACCCTCTTCTACTCTGGAAAGGGATGCGACAGAAAGTTAAGTAGGAAACAGGAAGTTCTGAATTTGAATAAAAGAAATGCTTTTGCTGTTATCAAGAAATCAAGGTGGGCATCAGGGCTAGAAATAGGGAAATTGGAAAAATTTCACTGGACTTAATGATTCATAATTCCTCAAAAAAAAAATAAAACTTACCACATTCTGTGCAAATTTTTCAAAAGATGTTCTGCGATCCATAGAGTTTCCAGACTTAACGTGTGTGGGGTAGGATAGGGTGAAGGGAAATAAGGGAAGGTTGAAAACAAAAAAAGAAAGCAAGGAAAACAGAGCAGAAAAAGACAGGATAATGAAATGATGCAACACCAAATCCATGTTCTAAATCAGAGGGCCCACGGAGGTAGGAGAGCCGTCAAGGGAGGCTTCTTCTCAAAGCACATGGGGCTCTGCTTTCATTAATGCTAACGCCAAAAACTTTCCTTGTACAAACGAAATGGAGTGATTCAAGCAAAATCAAATTAAGCTGAAATGAAGTAGATATGTGAAGCCTTTATAGTGACATTTGCAAAGCCTAAATACTTAAAAGTCTGGCAGCATATCCTCAGAGTATCCTCAAAACTTTTATCAGAAAAAAATTTCTGTTGACAACATAATTAATTCTATAGAGCATTAATGTCTAACAGAACTTTCCAAAAGGATGGAAATTTCATTCTACGCTGTCCAATACAGAAGCCTCTAGCTGTGGTCCTTGAGCACTTGAAATTTGGCTGGAACTTTATATAATTTTAATTAGCTAAGATGTAAGCAGTCTCATGTGGCTAGTGACTGCCGTAGTGGATAGTGTTACTAAAAGCATCCATTTCCAGTTGTAAAGGCTTTTAAAAACCTTATTAGCCTACATGATAATCATGAATTACACAAAATTACAATTTAAACTCAGAATTTCAAGAAGGTATATGAACTATTTTAAGATAAAAAAATGATGTTGATATTGATGTCCAGATTTTCTCTTCCCTGTTATATTGATTACATAAGGAGTTACGAACAAGAGACATTGATTATTAACATTATTGAATAGTGAGGTCTACTATGATGCTCCTATAATCTGCTTTGCTACCATTCTGGGTATAAAATTCACCTAAGGGATATTAAGTGATTCAGGATAAATGCCAAATGAAAATATTCAGAAGCAAACATTCCTATATTTCGTCATCTATTATTGAAAAAGGTGAGTCTACTTTCAGTTATGAGTTCTGTGGTTCAAAACATACCTTCTAGCTTACTAAACAAAGAAACCCCTCTTAAGTTTTCGACCTAATGACATCGTTACTCTCTTTTCTTTATTGTAATTTTGATTCCATGAAACTAGGCATACAGAAGACTAACATGAAACATGAAAACAGCTTCTAATAAATTTTGCAAAGCATGAACATCTGCAGAAACAAACAAACAGAAAGTAATACAGTAAACAATAAACAAACAAAAACAAAAACAACTTAAATGGCCCTTATAAAATGCAAAGGTTTGGGGGAGGGTCTCGGAGTATGTTCACTTACCATTAGTCCAATACTCAGGATTCAGCAGAGGTAATTACTCCAAATAATTATAACTGAGAACCAGGTCAAGAGAAAACAACTCACAAAAATACAATACCTTTTTCTTTGCCTGTAGAAGCTCCTGATAGGCACTGGATCTTATAAAACGTGGGTATGAATCACTTTTCATCAGTTTGTAAATGTGCTCCTAGAAAGAAATAATGGTTGAGGTGCTTCTTTATTATTTCTTGGGAAAAGTAATAATAGAGACCAAATCTAGTAGCAGCTAAAAATAGTAACAGTAATAACAATGCTGGTTAGAATACAGGACATTTAGATCTTCAAATTCATTATCTCATTCATGGATCATTGTTTAAACTGGTTTAGGAGCTACTGAGGAAGGAAATCACATCCAGTCATTTAAAAAAAAGGAATTTGGTTAACAAGATGTTGTAAAATAACTTCAGATCAAGTTACTGACTTATATAGATCACTAGAGAATATAACTAAATTCGCTGTCTCTTAAAATTACTCTAGGCCTGAAGTCGGTAATGTGAAGTCAGACTGAGTAATCATTCTGGATGCCTTTGGCTTCTACATTTACTGGGAGGGTGCCAACTGCCCAGATAAATAAAATCATCTCTTTGATACAAACTGCATGGAAAATTGTCTTCCACACCCACTTTGGGTCAGAGCACAAGTCCCAAAATAAATTTTGTGATATTTAATTGCTAAATCTCCAAATTTGTGTGCTTTTTTATTACTTACTCAGTGACAGCTTAGGTAAATACTGGATCATTCACCCCTAAGAAGTTTGCAAAATTCTGTTTTGATGATGAATTTTGGTAGACAAAGAAGTCAAAGAAAGAAAAAAGGTACTCATTCAATTCAGTCTGGACCCAATCCAGGGAGATTCTACTCTCGTCTACTGCAGCTCAGGGAGCTTACATGTGCCTTGATCTTCCTAGTCTAGTGAATATCAGTTAGGTGTAGAGCTTCAAACTAGTGGAGAGTATTCTGGATGTCCCAATTTTTTTTTGTTGTTGTTGTTGCTTGAAGAAAATATGTTTTTTTTTTTTTTCTTTTTTCTTTTTTTATGAGACGGAGTCTTGTTCTGTTGCCAGGCTGGAGTGTAGTGGCATGATCTTGGCTCATTGCAACCTCCAGCTCCCAGGTTCAAGCAATTCTCCTGCTTCAGCTTCCTGAGTAGCTGGAATTACAGGCACCCGCCAGCATGCCTGGCTAAATTTTTGTATTTTTAGTAGAGACAGGGGTTCACCATGTTGGCCTGCCTGGTCTTGAACACCTGACCTCAGGTGATCCACCTGCTTCAGCCTCCCAAAGTGCTGGGATTACAGGCGTGAGCCACTGCACCTGGCACTAGAAAATATGTTTTAAAAAATGACTCCAGTTCTCTGGCCTTAAACATAACAGCATTCATTTGAAGTTACTCTAAACCTATTTAAAGACATTCAGGATTAAGTCTCAAGACCTAGCCCAAGGGTGAATCTTCAAAGAATTTTTTAAGTTTGGAACTATATGGGAATTTGTGTGAAAAGTAGGCAAATGGCTGGCTTTGGAGTTAAGCATTCTGAGATTCAGATCCTACCCTGCTCAAGAACTACCACTTACAAATAGGATACATTTAGGCCAACGTTTTCATCTCTCTGATCCTTAATTTTCTAATCTAAAAAATAGTATTGTTGTGATGATTAAAGGAATAATAAATGTGTAGCGAAGCATGGGGTGTTCATAGTAAGTGCTCAAATATACTTGGGTATACGACAGGTACTCTTTTTAAGTGCTTTCCGGTATTAGGTAATTTAACCCTTACACAGCATCTATGGGATTGGTAACCATTGTGCCCATTTTACAAGATGAAGAAATTTTGAGGGATGGAGAAGTGGTCACAGAGCAGAGCTGAAATCAGAACCCAGGCAATTTACCTTAAGATAGGATTTCTTTTAAAACCATACACACACACACACACACACACACACACACACAACTAGAATTAAATATCTGAGCTTAACTGAAAAATCTAGGGCCAAGTGGTAATGTTTTCTATAGACAACATATTTTTTCTTTAAGAAAAGAGGATCCTATTAGAAAAGAATATTTTTAAATGACACAAATAACAACAACAACAAAAAGTTCTTTTTTAAATCTCAGGAAGGACATTCCAAACATTTTACACATTACTGGCTCTACAAAGATGCTTGACATTTTATCTTGGACAGAAGGAAAGAAAAATCAGCAGAGAAGTGAGCAATAGGGCCAGAATTTCTGGCCTGCTCTCTGTCATGTGTCTCTCTAGAGTGTAATTATTTCTACATCGGAGACCATGGCTGAACCACATGTGATGGGTATCCAGCTAGCTGCTAAAATCCTTGTTCGTTTTCTACACAGTTGCTGATTTTTTTAAATGAAAGCCAAGGAGAAATATATTTTCTATAGAGAGTAGAAATAAGAAAGGATATTTGTGTTATCTCATTCTTCGTCTTCTGTATTTTATTTTAGTAATGTGTGTGTGTGTTTTTAAAGGTACTTTTTAGAATTAATATTCTTCTCCAAAAGAAGTTTAAGAAATTATAAAGTATGCAGGTTCTGATTTAAAAACCAACTTCAACACATCATTAGGGAGAGGGTACAGTGACTAATGTCTGCAATTCCAGCACTTTGAGAGGCTAAGGTGAAAGGACTGCTTGAGCCCAGGAGTTGGAGACCAGCCCGGGCAACATAGGGAGACCCACCTTCTCTCTACAAAACATATAAAAAAATTAGCCAGGCATGGTGGTGCATGCCTGTGGTCCCAGCTACTTGGGAGACTGAGGTGGGAGGATTGTTTAAGCCTGGGAGGTCTCAGCTATAGTGAGCCACGATCATGCCACTGTACTCCAGCCTGGGTAACAACGAGAGACCCTGTTTCCAAAAATAAAATAAAACATATATTTTAAAAACCACATTATTAGGAAACACTATCCCCTCGTTACAAGTTTATTTTTCTTCTTGAGTATCAATATTTTTTGAGAGACAGCAGAAATTCAAGTTGTTTCTACGAAGGGAATTAAGATCCAGTTTGAGAAAAGATTATTAAAAATTTGTCTTAGGAAGTTAGAATCAGTTTTCTTTTTTTTCTTTTTGTAGGCTAAAAAATTAACTTGAAAAATTAATAAATATCAGAATTTACTATTTGATTTTTTCACCACAGACAAAACTGGTTTGAGGTTGACAAAAGTTTAAACTAATTCAGTTTGAATAATTTATAATAATGAATAATTAGGAATGTCAGAGTCAGAATCTCTATATTGAAGATGCCTTAAAGATGATAAATCTTTAAAAAATATATTAATTTTTTTTTTTACTTAGATGGGGTCATCACAATAAGTGAGTGTTTGCTCACTTACTGGGGGACAAACAGAGTAGAAAATGAAGTAAAAGTTTTCAAATATTTCATATATGCCCCTTCACATAAAAATATTCAAACTTAGAAAATATTCCCAGGCTTGGCCAGGTGCAGTCACTCACGCCTGCAATCCCAGCGCTTTGGTAGGCCTGGGCGGGCAGATCACGAGGTCCAGAGATTGAGACCATCCTGGTCAACAAGGTGAAACCTGGTCTCTACTAAAAATACAAAAATTAGCTGGGCATGGTGGCCCATGCCTGTAATCCCAGCTACTCGGGAGGCTGAGGCAAGAGAATCACTTGAATCCAGGAGGCAGAGGTTGCAGTGAGCGGAGATCGTGCCACTGCACTCCAGCCTGGTGACAGAGTGAGACTCTGTCTCAAAAAAAAACCAAGAAAAACTAAAAGAAAATATTCCCAGGCTTTAAGAAATTATTCAGTTTAATGTGTCTCTGTTCCTTCCTAGATCAGTGAGAGTTATTTTACAGTTATCTAAATTGAAAATCTTAGAAACAGCTGCCATTTATAATGAAAATAAAATGGATATATCCAACTATCAACTTCTCAGAAGCACGTCTGTGATGTGAGGCCCACCATGCACCCACCTGAGCATCTTCAAATGTGTATCGTCCAGGTTCCTTTACGTTCTGTGTGGTTTTGTCATAACTCTTCGAATCCAAGTTAATGGCACTGGGGGCTCCGGGAGCCAGAAATTCTTGCCATATTTCCTGAACTCTTGAGGGCACTTCTTTAATAGGCCTTTTTTTCAGGTCCTCCACTGCCAGCCAGAATCTATGCAAAATGTGAGATCCGGTGTTTACTCTGACGGCCCATCATCTGAAAATTCTTGTGACATTTATGGATCATGCAGTTCGTCGTGATGACTCCCAGCAAACTCACTTTCTCTGAGGGCTTCCAATATCAGAGTGGTACTCACTTATTTTTTCCTAGCAGTTGTATTCAAAGGTATAACCTTCTTTTGAAGGAATTATTAAAGACGATCTCTTCTAAGTGTTCATTGTTAAAAGCAGATCTGCCAGAGCTCTGCATGACTAATTTTACCCAAGGAAAGTGGCATTGCCAACTGTTTACTGAAAATGAGGAGGGGTCTGAAGGGCATTAAGGGTGCGGGGACATGGGCATCCAATCGTTTCTTGGATCTTCTGTTCATTTGAGCAATGAGGGCTCATAGGGAGAGGCTTTTCTGTTCTAGCTGGTAAGGAAGTTACAAAGAAGCTTTGCTGGAGTTAAAAGAGACCTGGACATAGATCAGAAAATGCCCTGGCTGGGAAAATAAGAACAATTAATGAATGTCAAGCTAATTTAACTGAGAGAGGTATGGAATGACCGAAGCAGCAAGCTTTCACATGTAATCACTGGAAAAGTTTAAATGTGTAGAGGCATCATTGCAATTCAGAAGCCACTGAATAATATACACGGACTCACTTCTGAATATAAACTTACTGATAGCATATGTAAACTGAAAAAACCTGGGTGTGTGTTTTGGTTAATAATAGTAAGTGGCAAAGTCTAGCGAGAAGGCGCCACATGCTATTAATGGGTTACATTTCTTCAGTGTTTTGCTCTAGGTTAGAGCTTACTAGTTAGATCTCCAGAAATACTGATTAAAAGATAAATGGGTATATCATAATTTGTTAATAGAAACAAACACCATACGTGAAAAAGGAACTGCTAGGACTGTGTTATCCTCCCTCGACACTTACTGCTCTAACAGTGAAGGAAGACAGCCACAGAGACAGGAAACTTCGGGCTCCAGAGTCTTAAGAGGCACAGGTAAGCAGCAGTACCTTCGCTACTACTAAGCTTTAACTTGAGCATTAATAAATAATCAGAAATCAGTAACAAAGCACGTGAGTTAAAATTAGAATATCAACTACCACTCGGTCTAGTGATTTCTGAGTTTTCATTTCCAGGTTTTGTTTTCTTATAGATATGTGTAACAGAGGATAATCTAACTTGGACAATGCCTTCCACAGGAAACTAACACCATGGCTTTTAGAAAGGAAGGCTCAAGACCATTCCCTCTTAAAACACAGATTTAGACACTGTGCACTCTAATAGGAATCCTATGCGTAATCCGAGGGAGCAGAAGTGTTGAAATTAATAAATGCTCAGTCAAGTTCATGCCAGCACACTTTGAACACATAAATCAAAACAAACTCTCTGTCCCCAAAGAATGAGTAAAGATAAACCATTTAGGCCAGACACAGTGGCGAACGCCTGTAATCCCAGCACTTTGAGAGGCTGAGGTGGGCAGAGGTCAACAGATCGAGATCATCCTGGCCACCATGATGAAACTCTGACTCTACTAAAAATACAACAACAACAAAAAAAATCAGCGGGCGTGATGGTGCACACTTGTAATCCCAGGTACTCAGGAGACCGAGGCAGGAGAATCACTTGAACTCGGGAGGCAGAGGTTGCAGTGAGCCAAGATTGCGCTACCACACTCCACCCTGGTGATAGAGACTCCATCCCCAACAACCCCCCAAAAATATAAACCATTTAAATGACCATACTAGGAAGCACATGAATGGCTCTCTAGGAAGAGAACAAACTAGACATTCAGGGAATGCCAAGCAGGAAAAAAGCTCCTCTGCTGGGGCAAGTGCTGGACTGGAAAAGAAGGATCTAGAAAAAGCTGTAATAAATCCAGTGACATCTGAAACGGGCCTGGAAATAAGCATCAAATATAAAAGGGCTGTGGGTTAATAACCACACCTACACTGATACGTAGGTGCAGGCACTGCTCTAAGTGATCCACCTCTGTTAACTCATTTAAACCCCCAGTAACTCTGTAACGCTGGTTCTATTATCTCCCCCATTTTAGAGAGGAGGAGACTGAGCATATGAAGATTAAGCTGCTTATTTAAGTTTGTTCAGTATTAGTGTCATAGCTGAGGTTTGCCCCCAGAAAATCTGCAGCAGATGACATGCTCACAGCTATCATCATCACTGCCTTTCTTACTCGCACCATGACTGTAATTATTGTAATAGCTTAGCAGAATGGAGGAGCTGGGTGCAGTGGCATGCACCTGCGGTTCCAGCTACTCAGGAGGCTGAGGTGGGAGGATCACTTGAGTCCAGGAGTTCAAGGCTGCGGTGAGCTATGACAGTGCCACTGAACTGCAGCCTGGGTATCAAAGAAAGATCCCACCTCTCTTAAAAAAAATCCCATATCCTTTATTTCATGGTAGCTGGAACCTAAGAAAGTATCTTTAATGTCTTTGATTCTTGATTTCCTCATCAGTAAAATGGGATGATAGATAGTGCTTATTTCACTGGGTTTCCATTGGATTAATTGGTTTCCATTGGACTAGTTGATTTAATTAATTCCGTTAACTTAAACTAATGATATAAATTATATAGAAGACACTGAAAAGCACCTGGCATATTTGTAGGCACTCAAAGATAAAAACTCATATCACTACATTTTCTTAGCACTTGCTCTATGCTATATGTTTTGCCTGAAAAAATGGATATGGGAAATACATTTTAGAATTTCAAAGAGCAGAAGGTGTATCTGAAGCATAAGTAGTTACCGAGAAGCAGTGTTTCTTATTTTTCTCCTGTCCTAACATTTCAAAGAAATGCTCAGATGAGTGACACACTCTCACTGCACGGAGAGTTATTTTATTTTAAGAGCTATTCACAACTCTGTTGGCCACTGGACCGTTTTGCCTCCTTCAGTGTATGACACGAAGCAGAGTAGGGCTCAGATTTGGGGAGCAGGGGACAGCAGCTTGGTACTGGTTTGTAGAAAACCAAGAATGCCACTTACTTGCAATCTGACTTCCTTAGCCATACTTTCTCAGCTTACCCTTCTCAGCCATACTTTTCTCATCTAAAAAATGGGGTACTATTTACATTTCATGTTTGTTTTGATGGTTACACGTGTGATGATCAGAAATAATGAATGCAAAATATAACATAGTATACTTAAAAGTAGTAAATAGAAAATATATTCTGATGTCTTGTAGGTATTCAAGAATTAATCTAATCTACATCTTTCATTTATCTACCTGTCTATACGTCCTAAGGAAACATAGGATAGGCATACAGTAGATACTCAAATATATATATGTATATATTATGTGTGTGTATATGTAATGTGTGTATATACATAAGATAGTACAGCATTGAATGACTAAGAAACAATTAAAGCTTAAACTAGAAATTGGCAGTAATTCAATTCATGCTTTGAAACCTAGAATCCACATGCTATTCTCTTTTTCTAAACGCATTTTCTGTCTCCCCGTTTTACCTGTTTATCTCCTCCCCATTGTGCAGCCCTCAGCCTAGAAGTGATTTCTCTCAGTATCCCTCTGCGGATCTCTAACTCTGGATTAGGCATCCTCTGTGCTTCTCCCACCTAAACACCCATGATATTGTGCTGTGATTTGTTTTCTTGTCTTTATCCACCAATTGGCTGTAATTTTAATGAGAGAAAGAGATGCCTTTATTTGGCTAGGTGAGGCTGGTAAGGCTTACTACTTGTTTATTTACTCATCATGATGCAAATGAGATCAGCATATTTTCAAAAACTTAGAGAATGAGAGGAAAACCCATCTCCCCAGCCACTAAAATGCCTAAAGTATTCTTTATCTCTGCTTTATTTTTAACGTGTTATGTATTCATTTATTTATTTGTTGAGACACAGTCTTGCTCTGTTGCCCAGGCTGGAATGCGGTGGTGTAATCTCAGCTCACTGCAACCTCTACTTCCTGGGTTTAAGTGATTCTCATTCCTTAGCCTCCCCAGTAGCTGGGACTACAGGTGTGTGCCACCATGCCCAGTTAATTTTTGCTTTCATTTCTTGTAGAGATGGAGTTTGCCATGTTGGCCAGGCTGGTCTCAAATTCCTGGCCTCAAGAGATCCATCTGCCTCGGTTCCCAGAGTGCTGGGATTATAGGCATGAGCCCCGACGCCTAGCCTATTAATGCATTCTTGCACCTGACAATGTGACCTCAATATAGAAAATATTATTAGTAGGCTCAGTAAATAACTTTAGCAACTTTAGCAGCAAGATCTTGCAAAAGCCCAGGCAGGAAGGGTTCCCATAAATTGTAAGAATAGGAAGCTGCATGCCCGCAATCCATGCTAGGCACACAAGGAGAGTTAAACCCCTCCAGGTTCTGTCTGCGGTCATCTTGCTCCATCCATGTGACAGGTGGCAGCATCCTACATCTTTCTGAATGGTTTGGGGTTGCTACCTGTCAAATCTCCTGAAAAGAATGTGACAATGCCTGGCACTACTTAGTTCCAATGAAAATAAATGAATGCTGAGACCTTTTGGCAAATGAAGTTTACAGGACTGCGTAAGTCACGGAAAAGTAAAAATTGGGCATCGGGTTTCAAAAGAACAATGAATGAAAGAGCTCATGGGAAAACAGTCTTACATAGTGGAAAGTTATCGCTCACTTCAATGATGTTAAATCGAGCTATTAAAATCCACGCTAATGTCTTATATTAAAAAATGCAATTTTCAGATCCTCCTTATGTTAGCTAATTTTAAAAATATATAAGGATGATGTTGACAACAGATGGGCAGGATGGCTGTCCCTGTCTCACAAACGGCTCAATGCTGTGCTGCTTTCAATTGCCCCGTGGCTATTATTTAAATGTGCAAAGAGAATGAGACAGCCCAATAGTTTGCTTTCAACTTATTGGATATAGCTGCCCGGTCTCTTCTCTAACTCTCTTGAGAGGCGATATACAGAGATAAGCAACACTGACAAAGAGGTGATATTTTAATGGAACTTCATAAATGTTACTGGCCAGTCTCCATTTTGCCAAACATGGTTCTCTGTACTACATTTCTTTACAGAGTGCATTTCAAAGTCACCAAATTTGTATAGTTAAAACCTCTGGAGACACAGAGACAGTGTAAAAATAAGTTATAAGAAATGGATATGCCGGGCAGCCTTTGCTTTGCTCATCTTTTTCTCCTTCATTAGGTGACAGAAATTCAGTGGGTTCATAACATCATTATGTTGGTGGAAGAAGAATCGAGCTATTACCTACAAAATAATCCGACACATCACAGACAGTATTTCCCTGGTGTATACGATCCAAGCAATGTGTCTTACCTTAAATTTTCTGAGCTGAATTCTGACTCTAGAAATTTAAGGAACTGTTCTCTCCCAACTGGGTCTTTCAATGCCTCGTCCATGCCAAAACCCCATCGTTTTACCCTCTGCTGGCTCGGTTCTTTGCTATAGAAGATAAACAAAGGCAAATACATTCCTTTCATTAGAATTCCCATTTTTTTGTTACTACATTCCCCTTCAAAGTCATGTGTGCCTTGAAGTTCTCATCTTTAACTTATCTTTCAAAAAATATATCTCTGATTAATGGCTCTGCATGAAGCCATGGCGTATGTTAGCATTAATAATAAAGTCCAACTTATTTTTTAAAATATATATTTCATTGCACTTTAGGCTTTGGGGTACATGTGAAGAACATGCAGGATTGTTGCATAGGTACATACACGGCAATGTGGTTTGCTGCCTCCATCCCCATCACCTATATTTGGCATTTCTCCCCATGCTATCCCTCCCCAACTCCCCACTCCCCACTGTCCCTCCCCTAGTCCACCCCAATAGACCTCAGTGTGTGATGCTCCCCTCCCTGTGTCCATTTGTTCTCATTGTTCAACACCCACCTATGAGTGAGAACATGCGGTATTTGATTTTTTGTTCTTGTGTCAGTTTGCTGAGAATGATGGTTTCCAGGTTCATCCATGTCCCTACAAAGGACACAAACTCATCATTTTTTATGGCTGCATGGTATTCCATGGTGTATATGTGCCACATTTTCCTTGGCCAGTCTATCCTCGATAGGCATTTGGGTTGGTTCCAAGTCTTTGCTATTGTAAACAGTGCTGTAATGAACATACGTGTGCATGTGTCTCTATAATAGAATGATTTATAATCCTTTGGACATATATTCAGTAATGGGATTGCTGGGTCAAATGGAACTTCTATTTCTAGGTTCTTGAGGAATCGCCACACTGTCTTCCACAATGGTTGAACTAATTTACACTCCCACCAACAGTGTAAAAGTGTTCCTATTTCTCCACATCCTCTCCAGCATCTGTTGTATCCAGATTTTTTAATGATCGCCATTCTAACTGGTGTGAGATGGTATCTCAGTGTGGTTTTGATTTGCATTTCTCTAATGACCAGTGATGATGAACATTTTTTCATATGTTTGTTGGCCTCATATATGTCTTCTTTTGAAAACTGTCTGTTCATATTCTTCACTCACTTTTGAATGGGTTTGTTTTTTTTTTTTGTAAATCTGTTTTAGTTCTTTGTAAATTCTGGATATTAGCCCTTTGTCAGATGTGTACATTGCAAAAATTTTTTCCCATTCTGTTGGTTGCTGGTCACTCTAATGACTAGTTCTTTTGCCGTGCAGAAGCTGTGGAGTTTAATTAGATCCCATTTGTCTGTTTTGGCTTTTGTTGCCAATGCTGTTGGTGTTTTGGTCGTGAAGTCCTTGCCTACACCTATGTCCTCAATGGTTTTGCCTAGGTTTTCTTCTAGGGTTTTTATGGTGTTAGGTCTTATGTTTAAGTCTTTAATCCATCTGGAGTTAATTTTAGTGTATGGTGTCAGGAAGGGGTCCAGTTTCTGCTTTCTGCACATGGCTAGCCAGTTTTCCCAACACCATTTATTAAATAGGGAATCCTTTCCCGACTGCTTGTTTTTGTCAGGTTTGTCAGAGATCAGATGGTTGTAGATATGTGGGTTTGCCTCTGAGTCCTCTGTTCTGTTCCATTGGTCTGTATCTATGTTTTGGTACCAGTACCACACTGTTTTGATTACTGTAGCCTTGTAGTGTAGTTAGAAGTCTGGTAGTGTGATGCCTCCAGCTTTGTTCTTTTTACTCAGAATTGACTTGGCTATGCGGGCTCTCTTTTGGTTCCATATGAAATTTAAGGTAGTTTTTTCCAGTTCTGTGAAGAGGGTCATAGGTAGCTTGATGGGGATAGCACTGAATCTATAAATTACTTTGGGAAGTATGGCCCTTTTCACAACATTGATTCTTCCTAACCATGAGTATGGAATGTTTTTCCATCTGTTTGTGTCCTCTCTTACTTCCTTGAGCAGTGGTTTGTAGTTCTCCTTAAAGAGATCCTTTACATCCTTTGTTAGTTGTATTCCTAGGTATTTTATTCTCCTTGTAGCAATTGTGAATGGCATTTCATTCTTGATTTGCCTCTCTATTTGTCTGTATTGGTGTATAGGAATGCCTGTGATTTTTACACATTGATTTGGTATCCTGAGACTTTGATGAAGTTGCTTATCAGTTTAACGAGATTTTGGGCTGAGATAATGAGGTCTTCTAAATATACAATCATGTTGTCTGCAAATAAGAGACAATTTGACTTCCTCCTTTCCTAATTGAATACCTTTTATTTCTTTTTCTTGCCTGAGTGCTCTGGCTAGAACTTCCAACACTATATTGAATAGGAGTGGTGAGAGAGGGCATCCTTGTCTAGTGCCAGATGTCAAAGGGAATGCTTCCAGTTTTTGCTCATTCAATATGCTATTAGCTGTGGGTTTGTTGTATATAGCTTTTACATTTCATTGATACCTAGTTTATTGAGAGTTTTTAGCATAAAGGCTGTTGAATTTTGTCAAAGGCCTTCTCTTTATCTGTTGAGATAATCATGTGGTTTTTGTCTTTGGTTCTGTTTGTGTGTGTGTGTGTGTGTGTGTGTGTGTGTGTGCGCGCACGTGTTTTTTAGATGGAGTCTCACACTGTTGCCCAGGCTGGAGGGCAATGGCGAAATCTTGGTTCACTGCAAACTTTGCCTCCCAGGTTTATGTAATTCTCTTGCCTCAGCCTCCAGAGTAGCTGGGATTACAGGCACACATCACCACACCCAGCTAATTTTTTTATATTTTCAGCAGAGACAGGGTTTCACTATGTGGGCCAGACTGGTCTCAAACTCCTGACTTCATGATCTGCCCACCCCAGCTTCCCAAAGTGCTGGATTACAGGTGTGAGCCACTTCGCGCAGCCGATAAACTCTAACATCTATTGAGCATTATATGCTAAGTGCTTTACACAAATTCTCTTTTAGTTTTTGCTAGTCACTTTATAAGATAGGCATTATTAATCTCGTTATTTTATAGATGAGGAAAGAGAGGCACAGAGTTATCACTTGCCAATGTCAGGCAAGTAATAAGGGGCAAAGATCCAGATGTTCTGACCCCAGTGCATACTCTGTCTCTCTTTCTTTTTTTTTTGAGATGGAATTTCACTCTTGTTGCCCAGGCTAGAGTGCAATGGCATCATCTTGATTCACTGCAACCTCTGCCTCCAGGGTTCAAGCAATTCTCCTACCTCAGCCTCCCTCCCAAATAGCTGGGATTACTGGCACCTGCCACCATACCCGGTCACTTTTTATATTTTTAATAGAGATGAGATTTTAGCACATTGGCCAGGCTAGTCTCGAACTCCTGGTCTCAGGTGATCCACCCACCTCAGCCTGCCAGAGTGTTGGGATTACAGGTGTGTAATCCCACATCGCTTAACCACTATACCACACAGTGTCAGAAAGGTATGTTGTACCAGGAAAAATGCATTGGTAACCAAAAGTCTCAATACTAGTTTATGATTCTGGTGTCAACTAAATCTGTGACCTAATCCTAGCTGAGTCACAACATTTTGGGGTTCTGGCTTTCTCATCTATAAAATCTTTAACTTGTGGATGAAGAGTTCTGGGCATGTCCAGTGTTCAAGATTCATTTCGATGCAAAAGAAAGAGATAGTCCAGAAATGCAATCTAGAGAACTGCTAGAAGTATGAGAGTACTAATCTTCTCTTTGTAAAGGGATATGCCATGATATTTTTATGACCCTGCTAAGACTGATATTTTCATGACCCTGTCACTAGACAAACTGGACACCCTCTCACATGTGCACAAATCTGCATGGAAAAGTACTAAAGTTTTAGACTTGGACTTGTGTACTTTATTTCCCCTTTCTAGTGTATTAAGAAATGACATGCAGTTTAATTTGCCAAAAGCAATGCTTGTATTCTGGCAGCAACATGCTACTTCTATTACATAGTAAAGTGAATACCAGAACTACAAAGGCAGGAGGTGTAAGTGAATTTTTATTGGGAAGGGAGGTTGTCAACTTAAACAGCAGCAATAAAGAGTGAATAAGGAAACTCCCTGTTGCCACAGATTTACATGACCTCCTTATGTGACACAGGAGGCATTTCAATTTGTTACCCCTAGCCAGAAATGGCAAGTGCTTTTCCACTCGGTCTAATACTTCTGGATTCCTACTAAAAAGGAATACATAAAGAGCATGGAAAAGTTGCTTATTGAAGGAAACCCCTGTAATTCATGACCCTGTAATTCTTCCCCTATATAGCTCATGAAAAAAACTAGGGAGTCCTCAGTGGTACTTTGCTTTTCTTAGGAAGTAAGTGTCATGCCAGTTTCTCTTACAGTGTTTTTGGTAAGCCCATTTGTTTTGAAATTGAATTTATAAACACATACTTGTGTTGGGCTTAAGTATGTATGGCTTTAGCATTCATTTTACTTGAATACATGAGCCTTTACGGCTATGTGGATTTTTCAGGAAGATAACAGCAATGAGCCAAATTTCAGGAACTGAAAATCCTAACTCTGACTAATGCATCCTGAAACTCCTGCACCTCAATTTTGGGACGGTCTTTCCAGCAATGCAAATCTTAATGCAAAAACAAATGTCTAAGGTTCAAGAGCCATTATCTTGAATAAGAATGCTAGATATGGGCCAGTGTAGACCAAGAACAAAATTACATTCACAATTAGCCAACAACAAAACCTTTCTCATTTCACGCAGACTCTGAAATAAAGCAACATATTTGCAAGAAAGATAAAGTGCCACCTACCTTGCTTCAAGCTCCCAGAAAGTGGTATCATCAGACAGCCATGGGTTAGAAGGGTCAGGTGGCAAAAGAAACGGGTCGTATTCTAAATACTGTTCCGTGTAACTTAGTAGACTAGGGAGAAAAAGACATTTCCACGTTCTTTAGTTTTCTGACTGGGGTTGCAGCCAATCCAAAGCAAGGGAAAGAATATAAACATGCGGGCCCAAGGAATCCTTGCTCACTCATAGAATGAAATCCAATGGCAATCTTCACATTTCAATAACTCGGATGTAACAACTGATTGTGCTTCCTGGCAGACAAATGTGGCTAAAGATTCCATCCCTCCCCAGGCCTAAGCCGTAGAAATCAACATCCCTTGGTTAACACGAAGCACTACGGAAGAGGTCAGTGTGTGAAGGGCAGTACCAACAGTTAGTTCCCATCTTTGGTTATCAGCCCACCCACAGCAGAACAGATTCTGGCCGACTTAGAGAAGAGCTTCAAAGGGAAATTTTGTTGAAAGTATTTACAGGAATTATGCAAAGTGAGAACAACTTATACATTTTTAAAATGAATAGACAAATTCTAAAAAGGGAGAAGGGAACGAAGTTGGAGAGGTAGGATTTGGCAATGCCCAAAAGTGACGAATATGAATGCCATTAAGAATAGATGTCAATGAAGAAAAGGAAAATATCTAAAATTTGAGTTTCATTCATATTCTGAAGTCAGGCAGTAACAGAGTCAATTGTTACTGTTAAAATAAGTTTACACAGAGGCTCCAAGATACCAAAATGTAATGAATAAATGGAAAGTTTCACGTCTTCCAGCAGGAGTGAAAAAGGCTAGACTGCAGAATCATCTTCCATATCCGATTCTTGGTTGCACAAGGATTAGATGTCTGGGCATTTAACACAATTATAATCACCCTGTCATTTAAACTACATCAAAAGAGTTCTTTGAAAGTTTTCTATGTGCAGAAAGGAAAACAGTATTACATTTACTTACATGATTCCAATTGTTTGTCTTGACTCCTGTCCCAACAGTCCTCTTTCATTTTTAAACACTTTTAATTGTCATGCAAAATTTTAAAATTTATATAGACATCTTGAAATACTCACCTGTCAGCGACTTTTGACATTTTTAACCGATGTCTGTCTAACTGTATTTGCCAGTATTTTATCTGAAAAGAGGGTTAGAGAAGTAGATACGTAAGTAATGACATTTTCACAATTTTCCACTCTAAATCATGATAGACCGGGCAATTCTGAACAAGAGTATATTCTAGGTCAGTACAATTTCAAAGCTGCTTAAAAAATAAAAGCAGAGCGCTCTTAGAAAGTTGAAAAAATGAAATGTCTGAATGTGAACACTATTGATATCACTTTAGAACAGCAATGAGTTTGACCATTCTGCCTACTTTAACAAAATGTCAATTTATTTTAAAATTGTAGAGATTTTGCTGGGTGCAGTGGCTCACGCCTGTAATCCCAGCACTTTGGGAGGTTGCGGTGGGTGAATCGCTTGAGGCCAGGAATTCAAGACCAGCCTGGTCAACATAGCGAGACCCCGTCTGTAAAAAAATATACAAAAATTAGCCAGGTATAGTGGTACAGCTGCTGTAGTCCCAGCTACTTTGGGGGCCGAGGCAGGAGGATCGCTTGGGCCCTTGAAGCAGAGGTTGCAGTGAGCCAAGATCACACCACTGCACTCCAGCCTGGGTGGTAGAGAAAGACTGTCTCAAAAAAATAAAAAATACAATTGTAGAGATTTTAAACAGTAGTTCATGGTGTTTACTTAAACATTCGTTCTAAATTAGTTATTACTAAATCCAGAATCATACTTCCCTCCAAATTTAGAAAATAAATGTATTTGTTACTATAATTTAAAAATAAATCCTATCTCCTAATACCAAGGAAGCATCAATGATATGTGTTTTGAGAATAATTTTATCAGCAATTCATGACAAATACTCACATGGAATAATCACACACAGAAAACCTTAATAAAAAACTCCCTGAATGACTTTTCCTTCGATTATTATAAATATACTAGAAAAGTATATATTACACTCTTGATAAACCATATGATAATAAAATATTAGAGGAAAGGAGTCAAAATGAGAATAAAGCCCCATGACTGAACTAATCAAGAAATTTAAACTATTATTTGATTTGAGACACTGGAGTTTGCTTTGAAATATTACTTGGAGCCATCACTATGGATCAAATGCTTAAGAAACGTAGTGTATACCATGACTCCATGACTGTACATCAGTGCTGATAAGAGAAAACTTCAAGAGGTAGAGAGAAATCAGCACTGCAGAGAGCAAGAATAAGCACTCATGTGAAGAAAATGTCATATCATTGGATATGGGAAATGTGGCACTCAACGTTCGCAACCTCTTGTCTCCTTACACTTTAAAACAGAGTTCTGGGGCACAAAGTAACTGCTGATGACGCGGTCATCTACCAATCAGCACATGTGACTTTTACAGTTGGCTAGAGGAAAAAGGATTTGGGTAAATACAGAGAGAGGGGTTCTGAAAACCATTCCCATGTGTTGATACATTTTCAAGTAATTGGAATTCTTAAAATTAGAAAATTTTATTATTTTTTAACTGCAGATCTTCCATATGAAACAGTCAATCATACAAATAACCTTAAAAATAGCCATGGTTAACATTTACCGTCTGGTCTTCACAGCTATTACTCTGTAAACCTTGAACAGGTCACCTCATAGGTTGACTCACCTGTTGCTGTAACTCATCTTCTGTTGGAGGTTTAGTCTCTGGTGTGGGTGTGTGGGTAGGACTGTGGCTTCTAATATCATTTTGTAAACCATAGACAGACTATATTAAAATGAAAAAATAAACATTTTAGGACAAAATACCATTTATAGTCACAGACGTTCTAAAAAGTAACTGTATCATAAATTCAGTAAGGTCACTCAAAAATTAGTTGATTAAGCTTCTTATCAAAATTCAAAAGGCACTATTTATATTTACCATAGCAATCTACAATATCATATGCATATAAAATACAAGTACAGCTCTGAAAAAATATATAGTTAGATTATTAACTTTGACAGAATAATTGACGATACGTAGAGAGCAGGGGGAGTGTGATAAAATTTGAGAGCAGGCTGGGATACGAAGTTGGAGAATGTCAACACTAACTAATCTTTCACAAGCACTGATTTAAGAAAATAGAGAGCTGGATATAAAATAGAATAGAAATGTGATAACCCAAAAGAATTGAAAACTAACTTGATTTTTTTTACATAGGAATGAAATGGGGGCACTGAGGAGAAGGAGAAGTCAAGAATTCTATTGCTGATTTGATTTCTGAAGGTGCAAGGGAAGACATCAGGGTATTCCTACTCTCCATACCAACAGTGGGTTATTTCCTTCACAATACTGGTCTTGCCATCGGGTGCCTTTGTAAACATCAGTGACCCCAGAGGCTTCAGGCATCTTTGGAATTCCCTTGTACTTTTCTATGAACTTGTCAAAAGGTCAGACTTACTACTCAGGAAGACTCTTTTTTGAGAAAGGCCCATTGCTTAGTAAGTATAAATAAAGATCTGGTGACTAAAGGGATAAAAAACTATTTGTAACTCAGAGTGAGACATCTCACATGTCAACTCAAGGAAGAGGCCAAATTATTTTTTCTTGAATATCAAAAGTATTTTTCCTTTAAAATAAAGAATTTAATGTGTGTTATTGAGCACTTTACTCTTGTTATGACATGTAATCACAGGAAATATTATTATAGTTCACTCCCAAAGAAATGAACAGTAGCTCTCCTGGCTAACAGCAGTATCTGTTTCCAAAGATTAAGCATGGTCCATGGGTTCCACTTCCTGAGCAGCCTGCAGTATAAAGACTGAGGCCAACCACACAGCTGCAAAGAGGCGCTACGGAGACAGCCTAGTTATGGCGGAGGCAAGGGCGGCTTCCAGAGGCCACCGGCTGGCCTCTGCCATTTCTGTCTATGGTTTGTCATCCCACAGTGTGGCCCGCTCTGCAGACACAGAGCTGTGGACCCCTCGGAGGGGGCTGAGACAGCTTGCTGATTGCTGTCAAGTTATCCGCTTGGCAATTACAAGCACCAATCACTTAAACTCTCTTTGTGATATGTCATGGGCTGAGCTGTGTCTCTTCCCGCAAATTCTTAGGTTGAACCCTATTTCCCACTGTAGCTATATTTGCAGATGGGGCCTGTAAAGAGAAAGGGAAGTTTAAGTGGGTTTACAGGGTGGGACCGAATACAGTGAAACTGGTGTCCTTTTAAGAAAAGGAGGAGACACCAGGGTGGAAGTTCTGTGTGTTGTTCTGTCTGTCTCTGTGCACACCACAGGAAGAGCCACTGAGTATGCAAGAAGGCGGCGGCCATCCCCAAGCCAGGAAGAGACACTCCACAGGAGCTGAACTTGCCACCACCCTGACATTGGACTTGTAGTCCCCATTACTATGGGATAATACATTCCTACTGCTTAAGCCACCTAGTTTGTGATATTTTATTAAGGCAGCCTCAGCAGACTACATAAAGCTTAACAAAATCATCTACCTATGTACATGTACAGACATTTGTCTCCTTGCTCCGTATCGGTGCCCTCATGAGACCACGGACTGGGGAGCAGGGCCCTGACTGTCCCATTTACTGTGGAGCGCCCGAAGCCCAGGGTATGTCTGGCATGGGGTAGCAAAATTAATTTTGCTGATTGAATGGATCATTACAGTTCCTAAACAACTATAAGCTCAAGCGTCAGTGTTGCTAATTCGAAGAAAACACATCAGTATGCGGCTTGAGTCTTATAACGTTCCATGTAAAATAACATTATCATCTGCGAAGATTCTAGCAAATTGAACACTTCTGACTGTGAGAAGTTATATTTATCAAAAGGTGAGAAAACCAGGGTTCTTCATCCGTGGAAGTAAGGGTATACCTGCTACCTGCTGTCGGACTTTTAAAGACTTCTGTTTTCTTCCGGCAAATGTTAGCGCTAGACTCTGTGGTGAGGCCCTGTTGTTCTGTCGTTATTGATTCACAAGAAATGAGATGTTATCGAGACGAAGAGCTAGATCTCAATGATCCTGTTTCTTTACAATATTTCACTTTGCAGTGGCTCGTGAGCTTTTCATCATTAAGTGAGGGGTGATGGTATATGAAGGTATGTGACGGCATTGTAAACGAATCGTTCTCAAACGTTCAGAAGAAGGGTGCAGGTGAAACATGAGAAAGATGATCAATGCTGAATATGGTGCTGAAAAGAGAGTATCAATGATGCCCTTATTGTGTGTAAGTGCTATCTTGTTAATCCACGTGCTTTCTCTTCTGAATCACAGCGTGTCTGAGTTAGTGTCTGTTGGGGGAAATAGGACATCCGATTCAGTATTTTGAAGAGTAACTTCACTATTCAGAAAGCGGATAGAGGTGGCTTAATGCACTTTTTGGTGAGCTGATAGCATTTTTGAATCTTGTTCTGCAAAAATAGTTCTTGGTGCCCTCAGGATGTGCTGTCAGCCAGGATCAAAGCAACTGAGTAAGGCCAGCCACAAGAGAGACAGACCAGGCAGGCTTGCTTCCGTCCGGGTCTGCCTCTCAGAGAGTTCCGAGGGCAGAAGCATTTGCACACCACATCTGGATTGGTTTTGGGGTGCTTCGCTGCGGCTTCTTTATCCTAACATCAAGGTAAACTGCCTTAAAAGAAAGAAAACGTACTTGGAGCAGTTGGGGGCCTTTGAACATGATGCTGGGTTTCTAGGGATGGAAGAAAAAGGCCACACAAAAGACTGGAAAAAAAAAAATTGGGTGCTTACCGCACAGACACAGACTCTGGAAAACACGATGGTAAGGAAATACTAAGGAAACAGCTGCAGAAAAGAAGACCTTGAAGTTTGTGGAATGCAGAAATCCAGCAGCACCAATCCATGAGCTGTGTCCTCAAACAGACTACTACAGGCCAGAAATTCTTGTGTACATCAAGTTGTTTTATGGAATGAATAACAATGCCTTCTAGCTGTCTGCGTTCCTTTAAAAAATATGTAGAAACGACTGCCATACATTTTTAAAGGGTTACGTAAAGTGTCACTGAATTCGGGGTAGCTTCCCCCGCACGCCCCACAGATAGTCTCTCAGATAACAAACACGGTCTTACGGTTGGGTCACAAAATCCCCGTGTTAAGAGGGGGCCCTGCACTCTTTCTGTGATTAAGTATCTTTTAGAGGTCCCTGCTTTCCTTGGGTTTTAAAATGCCCTTCTCGCATCACTGTCAGGGTTTCTGAGGAAATCTCCATTTTCTTTTCCTCCTCTTCTGGGCTCTGAAGGACACACCCTTCTCTGGGAGAGGAGAGGGCTCCTTCACGTCCTGTCCCTCTCCTGTGCTCGGTCAGTACTACTGCTCTGTCTTCAGACCCTGGTGTGCTTGAGAATCGGGATGGGGCAGTCCTGAGGAGGGGAGGGCTGTGGAAGGCCGGGAAGAGTGGCGAAGATACTCCATAACATGGGAAGAAAGTGTTTTGATGGCTGACGAACTGTAAACAAGGCAATTCATCACCAAGATCAGCACAACAAATGTCCTTTTTACCTTCCGTGTTTTGTGGGGGTTTCTCATTCTGGATGACTTCTTAATGTCCACTTCAGTAGTATTTACACATCCAGGCTGGAAATGGAAAAACAGAGAGACAAATGAACCTTTGGATGTGAAATTTCTGACCAGGACAATCATTAATGACTCGCTCTCTGGAGCCCAAGCAAATGCTACAATGATACGAATCAAAGGCAGTGTTTCCCAGATGGCCACAGCCAGTCCAGTCCTATCAGCAGTGGCCAGTCCTAAAAGACATAATAATACCCCTTAACTCTTCACACTTAAAAGCCTTCAAATGCCATCCTCAAATAACTCCCAGAGAAACAAGAAAAAGCAGTACTTGTGTTGCATATGTGGAAGTGGCATCAATATTTATAGCAACAAACCCGAAAGACAGAGTGGGGGTGTCCCCAGACAAACGGGCCAATACCCTCTGCTGGTATCTGCAGACAGCCTCTTATGGAGTGCTCTCTTTATAAAAAGTGAAGCTGGGCCAGGCGCGGTGGCTCACGTCTGTAATCCCAGCACTTTGGGAGGTTGAGGCGGGCAGATCACCTGAGGTCAGGAGTTCAAGACCAGCCTGGCCAACATGGTGAAACCCCGTCTCTACTAAAAACACAAAAAATTAGCCAGGTGTGGTGGTGGGCGCCTGTAATCCCAGCTACCCGAGAGGCTGAGGCAGGTGATTCGCTTGAACCTGGGAGGTGGAGGTTGTAGTGACCTGAGATTGTACCACTGCATTCCAGCCTCGGTAACAAGAGTGAAATTCCATTTCAAAAGAAACAAAAAAGTGAGGCTGCTTTTAGATGACTGGCTGGCTTTTCTCCAGTTGGAAAACTAAAATGCCATCTAGTTGAGCCAGCTCAACTTTCAGAATGAACTGTTTTAGAGGGATTATGAAACCCAGTGACTAGGAATCTTTGTTTTCCATAGACAGTATATGCAATGGAGTTCACGGTCAAAGTGTTGGGATTACAGTGGAAGATGGAGAAAGGTAAATCAGATACCATGCTGCTTCTGATAAATTCCTGACCTTCCTTTTCCTTAAGGGCAGGTGAACCCCTTTAGAATAGGGGAGCTGGAGACATACAGGCAGCCTGCTGTCAGCTTCCTGACCACCCCAGGAATCTCATCTTGTCAGATTTATTGTTCTGTTGTACAGAAACAAATAGCTGCCACCTTCTTGTATATTTGGATGAGAAGAGGGAAGGAGGGGGGAAGAAGAGAAGATGGGAGGGTATATGAATCAAGAAACAGAGAAGACAGGAGATTAAAAGATAGCAGCTTAAATCTAGGAAGGGCTTAGACATCACACATCCTTTAGAAGTGATCAGAAGTTAGAGGCCACATGAACTGTGTTTTCTTTACTTTTGGTGCAGGATTTAAGAATTTTTCGTATTAGTAAAAAACATCAAGTTGCATGTCTCTGTTCAATTTCTCTATTTCTTCCCACAGATTCCAAGAACATTAAAGCATTAGATGTTTTTAGAAGTGACTCCAGAGAAAATGTGAATGTGGAAAAGTCTTCTGTGGAGTTGGGATGGGGTTGGGATGGAAGGGCAAGAAGGCAGAGCTCATGTGATGGCAGACTCAGGTGTTCACTGCAGTAACAGGAATCAGCTCACTGTGTAATGAGGACATAGGGCACTTTCCTTAAAGAACTGTCTCCTGCTAGCATAGCCATTAGGACAAAACTCCACCAGAATATTGTAACGGATAAGGAAGTAAATGAGGAAAACATTTTTTCCTTTTCTTTTGTAGAATATGTATATACTACACATACATACACACACACTGTCCTACAAATATTAAATAAATTACGAGTTTGGTTTGCGTATCTATTCAGGAATAGAAATAACTGGTTCAGCAAAGTGGTCAGCTTGGCAGTACAGGAGGGAGGAAGGGCACCCAGTTGGGTGGAACTAATTTCCTAAGTGACACTAAACATTTCACTTAAACTCTCCAGCATCTGGTTGCTGAATATCTGATATTCTGATTTAATTTTTTATGGTTGGTCTAGGCATTTTTCTTTGTTTGTTTGTTTGAGATGGAGTCTCGCTTTTGTCATCCTGGCTGGAATGCAATGGTGTGATCTCGGCTCCCTGCAACCTCTACCTCCTGGGTTCAAGTGATTCTCCTCCCTCCGTCTCCTGAGTAGCTGGGATTACAGGCACATGCCACCATGCTGAACTAATTTTTTTTGTGTGTTTTTTTTTTTTTTTTTTTTTTTGAGACGGAGTTTCGCTCTTGTTACCCAGGCTGGAGTGCGATGGCGCGATCTCGGCTCACCGCAACCTCCGCCTCCTGGGTTCAGGCAATTCTCCTGCCTCAGCCTCCTGAGTAGCTGGGATTACAGGCACACGCCACCATGCCCAGCTAATTTTCTGTATTTTTAGTAGAGATAGGGTTTCACCATGTTGACCAGGATGGTCTTGATCTCCTGACCTAGTGATCCACCTGCCTTGGCCTCCCAAAGTGCTGGGATAACAGGCGTAAGCCACCACGCCCGGCCTCTCTCTCATTTTTAAAGAGCCAAGTATGATAAGAAACATCATGGAGATTTTCTTCTATATGTTAAGAGGTGGGAAAAATTAGGATATAAGATCCAGGAAAATGAAAGCATGTTTCTAATGACCCAGAGAAAAAGAAAGATAAAGGTAAGATACTGAACTCAGCAGGTGCCTCATTTTTCTCCTCTGTGGAAGAAACTCCAAGAAGGAGAGGTAAGAGGGAGGGTTAAAAATCCCAGACAAGTATGAGGAAGCCTGTGAGGTAGTTAGTCCCATGCCCCTAAGAAAAGCACTACAAGTGATGAATCTTATATCACATGTGTGTTAGCAAGAAAGATGAGCTTAAGACAATGCTTCCCAATCCTCTTATATGGCCGTCAAGGCATCTGGAATTTGTTACATGCCATAGTAGTAGAAGGCACAGAAGATCTAAGACTAGTGGGTGGATGAGAGCCTGAGGCTGGGACAAAGCCCGAAGTGTGCAAGGATTTTATGCTGGAAGCAGATGTCTGAAACAGAGACCTCAGCAGTGAGTCCCAGGTGATGAGATGCTACTTGTTGCAGCTGTCCTGGGAGCAGCCCATGCCAAGCTGTCTACAGCAGAAATTGACAAGGACCTGGAAGATGTTTTGGGGATGCTTGGCCCTCGTGCCCCACTGCACAAGATTGTAAAAACAAAACCTCGAGACCCCAAACTCCCATCCCAAACCAATCTTGGATAGCAGCAGAGAAAGGCCAAGAAAACTGAAAGTGTGATCATTTATCCACAAATGAGAGAGTCATCTAAACCAACTATTTCAATCATGGCAGCATGCAGAGCACATGCATTGAAACCCATCCTTCAAATAGGTTTCGGAGAAAAACATGTCGATTAGAGAAAATACAGAAACTGTATTTTCTTTACACATCTGAGAAGGCTGAACTCATTTGAACTGTAAAACTCCTTCCATAACGAGCTAGGGTTCCAAATCAATTTTACTTCACGCCAGGCAGCATAATTAACAAATGGCCTTGGAAACTGTGGCAAGCACGGCAGGCATAAAGTGAAAAGATCCCCTCCCCAGAGGAACATCTCCAACTGGCAGGCCTAAAGGGAATTAAAAGTTTCATCCTCACATTTATAAGATGATGGCCTTTTAAATTTGATTAATGAACCATTAGCCTACATCTGAAATTCCCACTTGTGCCAGTTATTAACACCATTAATCAGCAAATTAATAAAAAGCAATGATTTTAAAAGTCAATGTTTAATATTAGAGACTGAACTGTAAGGTATGTTTTATAACCCGGCTCCCATCTCCCCAAAATAAAATCTGCCTGTTCAAAAATTGTTACTAATGACTAAATGCTAAAATTAGTAAGCTGGATGGGGGATGCTTGTCTAAGGCCCTGTAATTTCTAAGGAGACTTGTGGGACAGTTACTGGTTCAACAGATCTGTGATATCTAAGTCAACCAGGAAATTTGTGAAGATTAAAAAAGCCTAGAGGCCCAAAGTTGTCTGGTATACTTCTGAAAAAGGTTATGACCCAGTGCTGAAAACCCCTGAATAACTGCTTTCATAAGTCATGCACTGCGGTAAGTGAAATATGGCAATAATTTTTCTTTAATCCTCTTATTTGTTCAATGAATATTTCTTTCTGCATCTAATTGTCGGATCTTGTGACAAATGGTGAGATGCAGAAATGAAGGCATGAGCCATACCTCAGTAACTTCCCGATACAGGAAGAATGACAGATACATGAATAATCAGAATATGGGAGCACAATGACTAAGTGGAAGTTGGCACAGAGCGTTATACAACAACAGAACATTTCAGACATCCATTCTTATGCACGGCCTGTTGGGTCTCCTCAACATGGCAAACGATATTCCTTTAAACATTGTTTTTAAGCATTTGTTCAATCCCAATAAGATCATGTTGTCTTAGGTTATTTTTAAAAAGTCAATTTTCTTTTCAATGCATATATAACAGGTACCACTAGCTGGCACTAGATCTACATGAAATTCATAAATTTGGTTTCTGTAGAATGAAACATATCTCTCTTCCCAATAAGATATAAATAACATTACCATTACCAAGTAGACTTTCCATTAAAATGTTCAAATATATACTATTTGCTGGATACAGTAGTAAGTACTAGTATTGTTGGATATAAGGAATAATAAAGTGCTATTTACATCAGCCTGGAAGAGAATTGTGTTATTTCTAGAGATTCAAAGACGAATTTCTTTTCAACTGAACTAAGCTGAGCTATAACATTATTACAATGTTATTTATTATTTATTATAAAGAAGGATTTAACATTATGGAACCTTTTTTTTTTTTTTTTTTTTTTTTGAGACAGAATCTTGTTCTGACACCAGGCTGGACTGCAATGGCACGATCTTGGCTCACTGCAACCTCTGACTCCCTGGTTAAAACAATTCTCCTGCCTCAGCCTCCCGAGTAGCTGGGATTACAGGCATGTGCCACCACACCCAGCTAATTTTTGCATTTTTAGTAGAAATGGGGTTTCACATGTTGGCCAGGATGGTGTTGATCTCCTGACCTCGTGATCCA